CGTTTGTCACTAACCATTGCTAGTAAGAGATTTTTTGGATGAGCAAAATAGCCGTTACGTTGTAATACAGAATCTACTATATCTCGCAGTTCCTGCAATAAGTAACGCGACTGTTGAGTAAGTTTAAAAAGATGCCGCGCACCATCTTTGCATGAAGGATGCATCTTAATACTAAACCAAACAGGAGATTAAACTCTTACGACATAAGTTACTAAATGATTCAGATTTGTTGATGGATCCTCACTCGACACATACAACCGTAGAAGTTTATTCGCTGTTGTCAGCCATCGAGAGTGATTTAGTACCACTGGAGTTTTTTTTTGATAGGGCTAGTGAACACTAACCTTTGAATATTGTTTCGCACATTTCCCACATATATTTTTGATCTGTGCTCAAATCTTTAAGTTCAACTTTTGGAAGAGTTACATCAATCTTTTCAAATTCAACAACTGGTAATTTCTCACAATTAATAAGTGCCTTACCAATTGGGCCAGAAAATGCTTTTGGTCCTGTAATTGATCCATCCAAATGAATTAGCAGATGTCAAAGACGAAGTTCGTTTGCATACAAAAGGCAAACCAACCATTGCAACGATTTGTTGTATTCTTTTTCCATCAACCTTATTGCGCCACCCTTAATTCCTGTGTTTACGGCAGTTCCGCCACACCCAACAGCTATAAACCTTTTAACGTCAATATCTTTGATAGTTATAAAGTTGACTATAGAACTTTTTATCAAATAGGAAGACAATCCAGATGGTGATAAATGCCCAAGGTATTTAGACCCTGGTTCTGGATTAAAGAGATGTTTTCTTGAGTAATACTTCGTTGATAGAACATTAACCCTTCCTTGATGTTTTCAAGAGTTTTGTCTTTTCGTCCATCAAAATAAATTCCACGAACTATTTTTGAATTTTTAGAAGTTTTTAGTTTATTACATTTTCTCTTACGCTCCCGTCGTATTTTACTCGGATCAACAACATAAGAGTTATCTTGTCGATTAACAACACCAAAAACTGCATTTGCTATTGCAGCTCTGGCTCTATCTGAGATCCCATACCGGTCACAGACGTTAGCTAATGCAGGAAGTGGTTGTCGACATTGAAAATACGAAGAACTAATAACGTCAATGGAAGAAACATCGGAAATATTACCTTTATTAATGTAATTATTATCTTCATCACTTTTAGCTGTAGATCGACTTTCAAAATCACTAACCGTAGACACAGACAAGGCATTGCGATGCTTATTTCTACTGCTCAATACTTTTTCTTTTGAACTTCATGTCCAGTTTATTTGATGCAAGTTTATCAACATTGCCAATGCACATCAATTTGAGAGTTCTCTGATCTTGGATAAAATCTTGCTCTGCATTAGGAACCTTGCGAGTTTTGTTACATACACACTTCTCAAACACGCACTTACAGGTGCAGATGTCAAACAATTTATGTCTTGCAGATTCTTTAAAAGCTTGATGTTTCGCAATAGTTTTCTGTATTTATCATGATAAGAGCGAATCATCTTTAATACCCGTGTATGAGTAATCATCGGTAGTGACGCTTTTAACCATATTTTTTCAACAACTTGTGCAGCTTTTTCAGAGATTTCTGTTATAGTAGGTTCTTTCGTAGCAGCTGTTGGTTTCAGTTGATGTTTTACAAGCAAGTAATGTTTCATTACATCTTCAAATGTTGGTAAAACAACTTGCGACATCTCTTTAGGTATACCAAAGACAGGACAAGTCAGCATCATCCTCGTTCTCACTAACCTAATGGCCATATTAAAACTTGTTCTATAATAAGCAAACTTTGTATTAGATTCATAAGTAATTATTGATTTATACATTAATCTAGCAAGCCATAAATAAAACTAAAAGCTAAACTAAAATATCAAACATTAGTAACAATTTCTTGATATGCAAAGAAATATATTGAGAAGTATGAAAAGAAATATAATGAACCGCCTAGATAATTTTTTCTAAACATTAACTAAAAAAAGGTTAATAAAACACATTTTACGTCAATATAACATAAAGTTATCAAGTATGAGACAAAACAAAATGTATTGTTTATATGTATTTTTGTTTGAAATGACTTTGTTATGCAATTCAATGAAAATTAATTTTCCAATTCAATTGATCAAGTCTTTTCTTCCATTTTATTGCGCAAATTAAATGCTCGTTCAAACTGTTGTTCTCCATTGTAGCGAAATGTATACAAACTTAATGATATAAAAACGACAGATTTGCTCAGATAATTGAAAACTTGATTAAAGATGTCGACTTAGCAACTTCGCGGTAAATTTGACACCTGGACAAGCTTAAAACATTTAATTTTAAACATTTATTGAGCAGTTATAAAGGTGAAATAACCAAGATAACCAAAACAGGTTAGGTGAAATGACGAATTAAGACTTTTAAGGGCCCTTTTTTATGTGTCATTTTTTTTTAAATTGATTTTAGGTGCCCCAAGAAGTCCTTACGGTCTTATCACAGAGCACCGCGGAAGAGCATTTAATAGGAAGTTCATGCCTCCTTCCCAACCGATGTCGCAAAACTTACCCAGAGGTGGGGTTTGAACCATCGATTTTACATTTCTGAGACAAGTGCGCTACCACTGCGCTACGGCTGCTTAACTTCTCTCGACTCTTTTGGGGGGCCTGAGGCTATAGCCCCTAGCCCCCTTAATACAGCACTGGGTGAAACAATACTATTAGTAATTAGGCTTAGAGAAATAAAAAAAATAAAGTTTTTTGTTTTTAAAAGTTAAAGCTAAAACAGTCTGTTTTCATAAAAAATACCTATTTTTCAGTAACTTTGACCCCCTTGAGGCAGCTGAAGACATTAAAATTTTATTCACTTTATTTGAGCACATATCAAAAGGCAACTTTTTGTTGCTATTACATATCAATAATTTACTATTTATATTTTCACCTAAAGTTTCACTGCACACTAATAGTCATGTGACTTAAATTATCATTGGTTAAATTATCAATAACGTGGACAACTCGTTGCGTTTGTTTGACAAGGTTCTAACTGTTACGTGAGTAGTTTTGAGTAAATCGGTATCAAAAATGTAATGTTCCTACCATTCAAATTTATTACAATCAATTGATAATATTTTTCCCCCATGCTAACATAAGCATTTGCCTTTAATATTCTTATTTGTAACTAAAAAGTACTTCACACTTCATTGAAAAATAAACGCCCCCGAAATGCAGTTAGAATCTTGTCATAGTGAAATATTCGTATCTTCACTATGACATGGTTCTAAATGTAGAGCAAAACTATTTAACTTGAAGTTAAATAGTTTTGCTGTTAAAAAATCTTGTGAATTTATTTAAATAACACATTTATAATGATTTTTTCCGTTAACTTGTTTGAGAGTCCTTATTAGTTCAAGTGAACTATAAAAATCAGCTATCCTCGTGAGCTTTTCAATTAAATGCCACAACATCAAATATCTCGCAAAGGCACTAGAAAAATGCTTGCCGGTATTGTCCACCATTGATTCGGTCCAATGTGTTCATTATTGTTATTTGGTTGTTATATAATATGTTGCCAAGTTAATCACACTTTGCTTTCTCTCATAAAAAATAGTTTCCAGCATTACTATCTTAATTTATACTACGAAATATCTTTTTAAATCTTTTTTCTTTATTACACAGCATGCTTTTTTAAAATTGCTAATGAACATTTTATTGCAATTTGTTCCATTTTTTTAATGTATATAATGTAGTAAATTAAAATTGTATTTGTTCATCCACTATATTCAAAATTATACATTCATTAACAAACCGTTAAGGTTATAAGCGATGGGTAATAAACATGCATGACTAACTGTTGTGGGCTCGACATAGTTAAACGTCCTTACATTGACAGACAATTAAGAATATGCACGGCAAAATGTGCTTACATCAACGGTAAGTTTAAGAGAAGACTGAATAGTCATTTTAAATTTAAAAAAAGAATTTAATCTTATAAAAGCCATTTATTTTTGTTTTTAATAGCAATTTCAACTCTGATAGAAACCAGTACATTTTGTTGTACATTATAACGTAAAGATTTAAAAAAAAGCATATATTAGCGTTTTTAATGTATTTTTATTTTTACATCAACATCAAACTAGAATACTATACGTTGATATTGAGACCAATGTGTTTATATAACTTTTGATGAGCATGAAGTTCTCTATCATAATATATTTAACTAAAAAAAATTGAAATATTTGCAGTTAAAGTTTAGGGGTTGTTCATTAATAACATTAAAACCTTGTCAAACCAACGCGATGAACTGTGTTTTTTACGCGGACAACACTTGATGTTTCAAAATTACCCTTTTTTTTTAATGACACATTTTATTTGTTATGTATTTTGAAAATAAAAAAGTTTCGTACTAAAATATCATTAGCATATATAAAACTTTAAATTTTCAAAAAGTGGACATCTGTGGTTTTACCAGTGTGGTCTTCAAATACATTATTAGAGTCTCAAGATTAAACGAAAATTTCAAACAAATTGACGGTGACGAAAATTATGATTTTTTGTTATTTGACGAAGAGAACCATTATGATTTTACTTTTCCAGACACGTGTTGTTCCTGAGACATTTTTAAAAAGCAGTACTAATAAAAATTATTAATTCAAATGTTCCAGGAACATAAAGTGCATATAAATACATGTATATGTCTATAATAATTTTTAGAATTGTTTTTTTATTTAATAAAGTGTATATTATAACTATATATTGTGTAATGTACATGATAGTTATCATTTTTGGATACAAAAAGCACTTTACTAAATTTAAACAAAAATTATCTTTATACACAGTAATGTGTAAAGACACACACACACGCACACACACACACATACACACACACACACACACACACACACACACACACACACACACACACACACACACACACACGCCACACGCCACATCACATACAAGTTTGGCTTCACAGTCTAATATTTAACTGATTGTGTTTATTTCCTTACTTTTAGTTTCATATTATTTATTTTGATTATTTATCTCTGTTTTTCATCTAATGTTGTTACATACTTTATCTAAAAGACGAACAATTTGGGTAAAAAACCAAGTAAAAAAACTGAGTTATTTTCAATTTTCCTAATGAAAGTAATTAATCTTTGACTGCTATGCTACTGTGCATGTTGTACAGTGTGAAATCTTCGAAAGACTTCATAACACTATCAGAAAATATCAAAAATATTCAAAAAAACATACAGAAAGAAAAACTAATAGTTGAGTATTGTGATTTATCAATCATTAATTAGGCTGACTGCAAAAAATTAAATACGTTCCAATTACTTATCAATAGCAAAAGTTTGTTGTTATAATGGCTAAAGGAAAGAAATCGAAAAAACAAGATGATAACTGGTATTTTATTTTTATTTTAAGTTGTTTTTATCAATTGGTCTAACTTTGTATTTTATAGTTAAATTGATGCATAATAAAATGTATAATTAAATTTCATTATTTTAATAATGACCAGTTCAATTACATATATTTCCAATAACATATTTCTTGTTCTAGATAATGGCATTAAATTATTATATATTATATAAGTTGAATAAATTCTAAAAAGTTCTATATATCATTAGAAAGTACATTAATACAGTATTTTGAAGGTAAAAAAACTATCAAAATCGAACAAATCATTAAAAAGTTATGAGGTTTTAAGTAGCATTTTTGATATATGGATTTATTTAAGCTGTGATGAAAATTTAGTTATTGATTTATGTGAAATAGATTAATTTTTATAACTTAGTTAATTCATTCTAAATACTTATATATAGATGTAAGACCAAACCGCCATCTTTGGCACCTAAAAATACACAATTTTCTATTAAATTGATATTTTTTGATTAATATTTTTATTTTTATATACAAAATTATAAATTTTGTTTTTATTTTTTCCAGACCACCAGTAAATATGAAAGATCAAATTCAATATATTTTTACTGAATAAAGATGACACTTAAATTGCCACCAGGGGTTACCTCAACCAAAAAAAAAATATATATTTTTTATCACTTCAAAATTTTAATGTTTTGAAGTTAACAAAGATATTTATCTGAAAAAAGAACATTACATTATATTTAGCTTAAGAAATTTTCCTAAATACTTTTAATTTAATTGCCTAAATGTTTTGTTTCAATTGCCTAAGCAACAGTAGGCCAGAGGTGAGCAAAACCCCTCAAAACCAACTTTTATGTTAAAGTAATTTCTTTTTGTAAATGTAATCTAAAGACTCCAAGTAATCTAAAGCTGATATAAATTTTTCCCTTCTATGACTTTTGAGCTCAGTATATACATTTTAAGATAAAAATAGCAATATTTTACCTTTTTAAACATTGGTGAAAATGTAAAAAATCATAAAAATAAAATATGAGGCCAACAAGATAATTTTACCACATTTTAATTTCTTAACGGTTTACATTTATCCATTGACATCATATATTCAAATAAGAAGAAAAAAAAAAAAATTTTTATGCTTGCAATTTTTCAAAGTGATTTTCAATAAAACCCCTTAAAATGAGCAACATTTTTTTAAACTTATCTTTTCACAAGCAGAAAAACACCAGGCCGCACTTTATGTGATCTACTTGAAAAATTTTTTTTTTTTTTATTTGCATTCACTCCCAACAAGGCTGCAAACAACCACTATCAAGCTGGGAGTTACTAGGAAAAAAAGAAACAGAGTTATAGAGCAAGGAAACGGTTGACAGAAGACTTGAAAAGTTGAAGGTTGTATGAGTCAGGGAAACATGAAGATGGGAGAGAGTTTCAAAGGATTGAAGTGCGGGGAAAAAAACTAGATGAATAAAAGTTTTTAGAGCATGCAGGGACAGATACAGTAAACGAATGAGACTTAGCTGAATGACGAGTAAAACGAGAATGAATTTTAGTTGATGGAACTAGAGATAATAACTCCTTTGAGCAGTGGCCATGGTAGTATCTGTAGAAAAGAGAAAGAGATGCAACTTTACAACGATGGGAAAGAGGTTCAAGCTTAGCAGATAGTCCAGGTCCAACAACATTTACAATGCGTTTTTGGACCTTGTCAAGAAGGGAAAGTGAATCGTTAGAAGAACCAGCCCAAATATGACAACAGTATTCCATACAGGGACGAATAAGAGATTTGTAGAGGTAGAGAATGGAATCAGAAGTAAGAAATTGGCGAGCACGATAAAGAGAAGCAACCTTAGCAGAAGCTAATTTAGCAATCGATATATGGTTTCCATGAAAGGTCAGTAGTAAGCGATAATCCAAGAAGACGTAAAGAGGACGACTCAGTAAGAGGATTGCCATTCATTAATATAGGAATGTTGACCATATTACGGTAGTTGTTTGCAGTAAGCAACTGGGTTTTTTTAGAGTTGAAATTCACAAGCCACTGTGAACCCCAATCTATTACTGAAGTGAGATCGGATTCAAGATCAGCTGCTTGTTCTAGGCGATCGAAAAGAGAAGACTTTTTGTCAAGACAGGAGTATAAAGTTGAGTCATCAGCAAAAAGAGCTACTTTAGATGAAATGTTATCAGGAAGATTGTTTATGTAGATAAGAAACAAAACAGGGCCCAGGATGGAACCTTGAGGAACCCCAGAAGTTACTGGAAATAAAGAAGAGTGTTGGCCTTCAACGATGACTTTAATAAACCGGTTAGAAAGAAATGATTTGATAATCTCAAAAACTTTCCCAGAAACACTATATGAAGCAAGCTTATGGAGAAGACCAGCATGCCAAACTTTGTCGAAAGCTTTAGATATGTCGAGAGCAATAGCCCTAGCCTCACTGCCTCCATCTAATGCACGATAAAATCTTTCAGTTACAGCAGTTAGCAAGTTGGCCGTAGAGCGAGAGGATCGAAAACCGTATTGATTGTCTGACAGTAGTTTATTTGACTCAAGATGAGATGTGAGGAATTTGTTGAAGATTTTCCAAAAGTCTTTAGAGCCTAACTTCTGCGATAAGATGCAAGATTTAGTGAACTGAGAATAATGGAGTTTAGCATCAGAAAGCACCTTTTTACATTGATTTCTTGCAATAATAAAAAGCCGTTTGTTCTCAAGAGAGTTATTCTTTTGAAAAAGATGAAAAAAATGATTACGATTGGATATAGCAGCTGCACAAGAAGGAGAAAACCATGGAGTAGAATGAGGCTTGACTTGAAACCAACGTGAAGGAATAAAAGCTTCCATTCCAGCCTGAATCCAGGAGGTTATGTAGGAGGCGCATTTGTTAGCTGAGAGAGAAAAAACATCAGCCCAAGGACCATCACAAAGAAAATCACGAAAGGAATCCCAGTCAGCTTTAGGGTAGTAGTAGGTGGTGCGATGATAAGGTGAGCCCAAAAAAGAAGTACGAGAAGAAAGATTTATAGAGATCATTGCATGGTCAGAACCACCTAAGGGAGAAAAGGGAGAAACTGAACATAAGCTAGGGTCAGAGACAAGACATAAGTCAAGGAGTGAAGGTAAATGATTAGGGTTGTCAGGAAAATAAGTCACAAAGTTACCTATCTGAGTAAGAGATTGAGAAACGCAGAAGTTAAAGGCTTTAGTGCCGGCAGGATCAGTGGTGTTAGAGCCAAGCCATTCAGTGTGATGGGCATTAAAATCACCAACAACAACAATATTGGCAGAGGGGTAAAGAGAGAGGGCATGGTCAATTTGATCAGAGATAACATCTAAGAGAGTGCAATCATGGGAAGAAGGAGAACGATAAAGAACAAAGAGAAAGGTGATAGAGTGAAGAGGTGCTAGGCGAAAGCACATAAAAGAATGGTCAAAGGATTCGAACCTGATTTCACGACAAATAGGGGAATTAATGCGTATGTATACCCCTAAACCTAGCATGTAACTGTTGGAGTCTTTACGAATCAAAGGATAGTACCCATCAACACTGACATCTGAAGAAGGAATTGCAGAATTTAAATTTGTTTCACTGAGTGCAAGCAAGTCTGGTAAATTTTGCAGGAGGTAAGACTCAACTGATGGAAAGTTGCTTCGTAGACCGCGAATATTTGTAAAAGATATATTAAAATATTTAGGTGGTGGGGATGGTTTTTTAGGTTTTAAATTTTTGGTTACTTTGGTCATGATTTGGGTTTAATGAGAACTTGACTCATTCATAGATAGAGCACAGCCTCCTAATCAATGAGCTATGCAGTTGTCTCTGTCCTGTTAATTAACCCTAAGCCGTGACATAGGGCTCCTTAAGTGGCCTTGACAATGCACACCAAAAGCATTAACAGGGACACCATCCATGCGCAACATGGCACTGTTATTATTCTGATATTTTGCAGCTGTTGATGGAATCAGCCTCTCTGAGAGCTACCACAGAGTTCGGGAAACCTTACTACCAGCCGGCCTCAGAACCATTAAACTGAGTTTTAGAGCTGTACCCTCATATGGAGATAACAGGAAGAGTTGCATAGCTATTATCAAGGAGGCATAAGCAAAATTCTATGAGTAGAGTCAAGGAGATCCAACATTCATCATCCTAGGCAGGAAACAATGTAACACAGGTTACATCTACGCCAGCCTAATAGATGAAGAAGGGGTTCGAGGCTGGTTAGCAGAATTTTTCTGCTTACCCATAAAGTCTTTGCCTAGGAGGCCTTTTACAAGACAGTAGCTGGATGCAGTTAACATCTGCCCAAGATGAGTATTTTTATCGAGACACCATCTCTACCCTTTACTCAACCAAGAGCACCAAGGCAGGGGATGTTTAGCTGGATGCAGTTAACATCTGCCCAAGATGAGTGTTTTTATCGAGACACCATCTCTAGCCTTTACTCAACCAAGAGCCCCAAGGCAGGGGAATTTTTAGTCGGAGTTTATTTCTCCTAGCCTTTGCCTAAGAAGAGCACACTCTGCAAGGCAGCAGGGCTTGTGGGAGGTGGTACTGGGTTACGTGATACCAGTAGCAAGATTGGTCTCGATAATCCTGACCTGACCTAGAGTAGTTAAAAGGAGTTATAAACATAAACATAAATACACTCATATATAGATAGAAAAAGAAATAAAGTACATAAAATAAATAAAAATCATGAAAATGTCTTGACAACTCATGACTACACCTATATGTGCGATCATAAGCATTCTTGGAGACCAAATATACCCAGTTTAAAGTTCCTTGACAGCAATTACCTATATTCAGACATACAACATGTCCCATTTAATTAAAAAACATTGGGACATCTCAGGACCACCCTTGATCACCACTAAAATGACCATTTGAGCAGTCATCACTACCCCCTATGACACACTTGACAACCCCACAAAATAGCCACTTGTGTGGTCATGACCACTCCAAAATTAAAGTGGAGCCTAAAAATCAAATCCTTGGCTCCAAAAACCTCTATAAACA